AGGATCGCGGGAGCCCAGCAGGTCAAGGCTGCAGTGGCCAGGAGTGTGCCACTGCACTCCAGTTGGAGTGAGACTCCAACAACTCAAAATAAATAAATAAACAAACAAAATAATAGCAAAACATTTGCTTTAAAGGGACTCATGTGCAGAGGACTGCCCATGTGACTGAGTAGGGACCTGGGACTTTGTCTAGAGGCCACTGGGAAGCCTGTGGTAGAAGGGTTTGAATATTAGGACCGTCCTTCCAGCTGCCGTATGGAGTTGGGGGAGAAGACCTGGCAGGGATGCTTGAGAAGCTGGATGAACAGCTGAGGGCTGGGATCTGAGATGGGAACAGGGGACAGCAGGTGTAAACATCTTGCTCAGCTGCACAGTCAGAAGGAGCATTCCCCACAAGATCACCCTCATGTCAGACACCAACTACAAGTTCAGGGGTTTTTTGGTTCTGTTTTTTGAGTTGGAGTCTCACTCTGTTGCCCAGACTGGAGTGCCATGGCACACTCCCAGCCACTGAAGCCCCGACCTGCTGGGCTCCAGTGATCCTTCCGCCTCAGCCTTCCAAGTACCTGGAACTACAGGCGTGCGCTACCATGCCCGGCTAATTTTTGATTTATTGTAGAGATGAGGTCTTGCCAAGTTGCCCGGGCTGGTCTCGAACGCGCGGGCTCGGGCAATCCACTCACCTCTGGGGCTTCCAAAGTCCTGGGATTACAGGCTGAGCCTCCGAGCTGGCCAGGGTTTTGTTTTGTTTTGTTTTTGAGTCAGAATCTCACTCTGTCACCCAGGCTGGAATACACTGGCACCCTCACAGCCACCCCAGTGCCGATGTGCTGGGCTCAGGTGATCCTTTCACCTCAGCCTTCCAAGCAGCTGGAACTACAGGTACATGCTACCATGCCCGACTAATTTTTTTTGACATATTGTACGAAGAAGATGAGGCAGAAGATGAGCCCGGCAGGTCGAGGCTGCAATAGCCATGAGCAGCGTGCCACTGCACTCCAGCCTAGACAACAGAGTGAGACTTCAACTCAAAAAAAAAAAAATAAGCCGGGTTCAGTGGCTCAGCCTGTAATCCCAGCATTTTGGGAGGCCGAGGCGAGTGAATTGCCTGAGCCCACGGGTTTGAGACCTTCCTGGGAAAACTTGGTGAGACCTCTACAATAAATCAAAAATTAGCCAGGAATGGTGGTGCACACCTGTAGTTCCAGCTGCTTGGAAGGTTGAGGTAGAAGGATAGCAGGAGGTCAGCAAGGTGACACTGGAGTAGCCGTAAGTGTTCCACTGCACTCCAGCCTGGGTGACAGAGTGAGACTCCAACTCAAAAAAAAAAAAAAAAAAAAAAAAAATATATATATATATATATATATATCTCCAACTGGGAAGCTCATCCGAGTCTCTGTGTCCAGAGTTTTTAATGAGGCCTCATTACAGAAGCACAGTTGGTTGACTCATGGTACATGTGGTTGAATGCAATTTCCAGCCCTGCCTGCCTCCCTGGGTCAGAGGTCAGATATGAAGATTGAGCTGGTATCACAGGGTTCAAAGCCCCAACCCTCTAATCATATCATTGGCATTTCTGGTTCCCATCCTGAGTCATCTCATTAGTCTAAGCCATCCATCAGGGGTTCACTGTGAGTCACTGCATTAGCATAAACCATCAGGGCTAGCCGGCTCGGTGGATCAGCCTGTAATCCCGTGCTTTGGGAGGCCGAGGTGAGTGGAGTGCCTGAGCCTGCGGGTTCGAGACCCGCCTGGGCAATTTGGCCAGACCTCATCTCTACAATATCAAAAATTAGCCGGGTGTGGTAGCACATGCCTGTAGTTCCAGCTACTTGGAAGGCTGAGGCAGAAGGATCGCCGGAGCCCAGCAGGTCGATGCTGGGGTGACCATGAGCATGCCACTGCCCTCCAGCCTGGGCAACGGAGTGAGACTCCAACTCAAAAAAAAAAGAAAACATCCCCTGTGATCCGCTGCACCTGGCGCTCCCCCGGCCTAGAGCCTGTCCCCACTCGAGTGACTCGCCCGCACCGCTCCATCCCCGACAACCTGGGAGCTCCCAGAAGCCAGAGCCCGTGGCGAAGCCCGCGGGGCTCCCACCGGGGCCTCCTGCCGCCCCAGCGCCGCAGCCACAGACCTCGGCCTCCTCGCCGTCACTGCTGCGCTCGCTGTCCTCCTCCTCCGAGAAGTTGCTGTCCTCGCTGTCCGACATCTTCCGCTCCTGCAGGCTAAGACGGCGGCCTCAGCGCCTCGCACGGGCCCGAGCTCAATCCGAGCCTCAGTTTCCCGCAGGTGCCCGGGGAGAAAGAAATCCCTTAGCGCACTTCCGGCAGCCACGCTCCGGCGATCGAGAACCCGAGTGGGGGCCACTCCCCACCAGGCCCCCCCATAGGCCCCCGATATATCTCCTGAGTCTGCTGCCACCTCCTCACCCACTCCGGCTGCACCTTCGCGCTCAGTTCTGGCGGCGGGCGCCATGACGCCCGGCTGGGGCTGGCTGGTACTCTCTCGAGAACCTTCGCTAACGCGAGATTTGCGAGCTGCCCCGGTGACTCACTTCCGGGCTGCCATCTTGAGAGTGACAAGTTGTCTTAGGCCCGGCGTGGAGCTCACATCTGCGGAGGGTTGGGCGGTAAAGAGTGTTTTTTCCTCTTGGATCTGGCCTCGTCCAGCCTGGAATTCATGTGTGAATTTTTTTTTTTGAGTCGGAGTCTCACTCTGTCGCCCAGACTGGAGTGCAGTGGCCG